TATATATATATATGTAGGTTGGTGGTAAATATGCAAATCCGTGTTCTCCACATGATGCCAAGTCAAGTGGGGACACTTGCAGATAAATGATGGCTCTCTTTTCAGCACCATGGCAGGTAGATGTTGGGAGCAGGTATATGTTGTATCAAGACTGGAGTGAGAAAGTGATTCTAGTAGCTATGCAGGATGTTTGAAGCTCTGCCCAAGGTGAGTGGCCAGAGTCAATGTTTTAAGGTGAAGTGGAGGATCAAGGCTAAAATAGCTAGGTAGGGCTCTGTGGGCAAGTTCTCAAGCAGAAAGGAGACACCATGTGTTGCTGGGTCTGTAGCTCAAGGGACCCATCAGAGGCCCGGGCTTTGTGAGTGAGGGCAGTGAATAAGAGAATGGGGAAGAACAAAGGCCTGGGTTCAGGTTCAGATGCAATAGAAACAGGGTGGTTTCAGAGCTAGCAGACTAGCAGGCAGTGGTTCTGTATAACAATTTCAAAGGAAAAAAATGTTCTGGGTAAGAAAGTCTGGGCTATGACCATGGGAATGACCATGGGGTAAAAATGCAGGTGCTCAGACTGAGGAGGTCAAGGTTTTGGGGAGCTGCCATGGGAGAATCTTCCCTCAGGGCACTGAAGTCACCTGAGAGGATGGCAAACATTAGCAAAGACCATAACTGAGTCCTTAATAAACATAAGATAGTGACCCACAGATGAAAGATTGAAAGTGAGAAGAGGACAGGCCGGTGGGATCAATGTGAGCCCAGGAGTGAATTCTGCATGGGTAAAGGCTACAGCAGATGGAGGACAGATGATCTTCACCCCCTTCCAGACCTGCTGGACCTTTGGGGGAGTCTGAAAAGGAAGTGAGTTCCTTGAGGTTGGAACAGGAGAGACAATTCTATTTCAGTGGCAGTGGGTGAGAAGAAAAGACTATCCTCACTCTATAAAAACCATATAAAAACTATATGCTCCCAGAAAAGGACATTCATCTTTTATTTTCTACCAGAATAGTTGGATTAAAGGTTTCCAGAGAATCACAGAAGACAGTTGTATTGACTGAGTAGCATTTAATATGATCAGGTCTTAAATAGGAAGCCATGAACATAAACATTCAAAACCAAATATATAATAAATAATCATTAAGTTATAAAGTACATAGTCCATATTAAAACTAAGTTCTCAGATGCAAATGTAAATAAAATATAGCAATAATATAATGCTACAAAGTTATTCCTGTGTCTAAAGAAGACACTTTCAGCTAAAATAGTAACAATCAGAACTAATTTTCTCTGAACTCCTATGACTTATACCAATGTTTACTTTCCTTCCTTTTTTCCTTTTATCCCTTCCTTCCTTCCCTCTCCTTTCTTTCTTCTTTACTTATTGGGTAACTGAATATCACACTTGGTACAAAGTTTAACTCAGAAATGTGGCCAGATATTCTTGTAGGAATATTTAGAACTTTAGAGACTCAGATAAACAAAACTCTTTTAAAAAATGTAACACAGACCTAGAATAGTCCAACATCCTTTTCTACAGATAAATAAAAACCCAAAAAGTTTAAGCAAATGGTCACCTTCACAGTCAACAGGATTTCAGGTGTTCAATATCATTAGCTATAGGCGGACAGTGATGGTCATGGGCTTTCATTATGTCCTTTCAAGCACTGGATAAGTCCTGAGCACAGAGGAGAAAAGGTGGCTGTTCAAAATCCCCACCATATTGTTTATCTAAAGCATTGTTTTCCCTTGACTGCTGGTAAGCTCTTTCCTGGAGTTTTTAAATTATTCAGGCTCTTAGACAATGCCCACATTGAATTATTTTTACTTTTAGGGTAGAAATGCTCACTAGTCAAAAGATTAGAACATATTTTTAACAATAAACACACCAAAATAAATACATTATTTTAAATACAAAATCACAGTGTCAAGAAATCAGCAATTATAAAGCCAGAAACAAAATGATATAGACCCTGCTCCTTTCCATAATTTCTTTCTGAAGTATTTTTCCTTCTCTGGACCTTTACTTCTGACAACCTGTACTAGCACCATTCGACACTTAGGTGGGCTTCTATGTACAATATCACCAGTGGTCACATATTTACACAATTTCTTTGCAATAGCATATTTAAAATTTGTAAGAGAATACCTTCTTTCTGATATGACACTTGAACCAATTCTCTATCTTAGAACTGTACTCTAGCTTGTGTCTGTTTTAGAAACACTTTTAAGTACAAAGGATTTTCCTTGGAGCAGAGCTTTCTCCATCATATCCTCTTGTACACTCAAGTTCATTTTAACAACAGAAATTCTCAAACAGATTACACTATTGCAGCACAGAACTTTTTCCCAGACTTTTAAACTTTATATGGAAACAGACCGTTGAAGCCATCACACCGACAGTGTGCTCATTTCTTCTGTCCATCGTTGAAAGACTGCAATGTTGGAATTCAACTCGTCCCAGTTTAAAACAGACTTTTACTCTTGATTTGTCTCTTGATTGTGATTTTTAAATAGATGATTGAATTTGCCTTATTAAAAGTATCCCCAGATCATATCTAACATGCTCAGCATGGTTGTATTGTCTGTATCTCAGAAGTTTCATTTTTACAAAGAGGAAAGGAAAGATAGGGTGGAAAAGGAGATTGGCATCTGGAGTCAGCAGATCAATCACAACGTACCCACAATAATTTCAGACAAGAACTACAAAACTTTAAAACTCTAGTTTTAGTTTTAAAGTTTAGTTCTAGAAAAATCTTTGATGATGTATGTCCCACTATGGCTTTTAGTTGTCATTTTCACAAGCTTAAAAGATTAGCTTATAAAGGGACCTGAGGTTGGGGAGCTCATTCTTAATACATTACCACTTCAGAAAAACAATAAAAACTGAGAGTGTACTCCATAAATAAGTCCATCTCTACAATATTTAAATATTTTGATAAACTTAATAAAGAAGCAAAAGTTTTTATATCCATCTGGGAAAGCTCTCCCCTCAGAGCATAAATAAATGATATATTTTTATGACAGATATTTTAGGGTAAAAAGTAAACCCTTCAGATATGTTTTTAAGTACGAAGTTTTCCTTAAAGAATAGAGACTTTGGTTTTTCACTTTGATCTTAAGTTTTTGCATTTTCAGCTTACACCTTTTAGTTAGGATTACAAGAGATCTTATTCTTGTAGCTCAATAAATTCCCAAACTAAATTTTTGTTTAAAACATTTAGCCTTTCCCTTCCAATCAAAGAATGTCACAGTGGGACAATAAGATAAAATAAAAACTTCAAAAGTCACAGAAATCCATGACATAGGAAATCAGACTGTAATTGAGGGGGAAATCATTCCACGTTGACCAACATGGAGTTTGTGCATTGAACTGGAGTGTTGCTATAGTAATTTGGTGAAAATAATCTTGATCTGGATACTTCTAAGAGCTTTTCCATCATTAATATATTGTATACTTTTCCACTCAGATACCAAGGAAGTAACTTTCACTCTTGCGTTAGAGAGTGTCAAATAGTGTCCAGTAGCATATCAGGTCCTTAGGAATCTTCAGGCCCCATGTGTTCTAAGAAAGATGCTGATGAACCATCTGTGGAAACAACATGCCATGAATCATCTGGCATAAGAAGCAACCTGGAGGTAAAGACGGAGGAGAAAACAACATGAGTTTAAAACACATACCTTTTGGAGAAGTGATTTCAGTCTTTCTAGGAATTCTTTGGGTGGTTTTTTCTCATAAGAATCACAGGAAGGACATGTCTAGAATTTTTTTAAAAAAAGGTAACATTCTTTAAAATGTTTTCCTACTTCATAAAAATACTTATATATGTTTATTTCTATGATTGAAGACATAATTCAGCCATGCTCACAGACAAACATTTGGAAAAATACATAAAATTGTTTTGAAAGTCACTTGTAATTCCATCCTCAGAGATAAATTGACATTAAATGTTTTGACATTTAAACTCCCATTTTCTTTGCTCATTTTTTTTAACTTTGCATTTTTGTTACACTGGTTAATAACATACTTAAAAAGAAAACTTAACAAATCTAGTGTCCCATGCTAGAGCAATCTAATTATAAAAAATAGGATTTCCTTAATTTAATTTCCACTTACTTTATTAGTGGGAATATTGAACAATTTTTTATAGGAGTGTTGCTTTCTTTCCTCTCTTCCTCTTCTTCCTCCTCCTCCTCCTCCTTTTTTGCCCCATTTCCCTTTTCTTTTTTAGTTTTATTCTTTAAATTTTTTATTTATTTATTTTTATTTATGTATACAAGTGTTTTGCTTGTGTGTATGCCATGTATGTCATGCAATGCCCGTGGAGGCCAGAAGAGGGCCCTCAGATCCCCTGGAACAGGAGTTTTGCATGATTGTTAGTTATCATGTGGGTGCTAGAAGCTAAACCCAGGTCCTCTGGAAGAGCAGCTAGTGCTCTTAACCACTGAGCTATCTCTCCAGTCCCTAGTTTTATTCTTATTCCTGTTGAGATACCAAACATCAGGCCATGTTTGGTAGTCAGCATCTCACTGGCAGTTGCATATTGCTATAGTGTGGACATTTGGCTGAAAGACAGAAGGTATGTTCTAGGTCTCTTCCTGACACGGCTTAAGGGTTGAGTTCTATGCCAACATCGCCATTTCCTAAGTCTCTGGCACTACATTTCATAGCTATGCTCAGTTCCGTCCTCCCTCCCTCCATTTTTCTCTCTCTCCCTTTATTTCTTCCTTCCTTGTAGCTTTTTGAGACAAGATATCACTTGTAATCTAGGCTAGCCTGGAACTCTAAATCCTCCTGCCTCAGCCTCCCAGGTTCTGGACTCTCAGACATCCACCACTGTATCAGGCACTTCCTTTCGTTGTGAGGAAAGTTTTAAAGGGATATTTTCACATGATGCCTTGGCCAAAGCAATCAAAAGAAATAAGAATCATTTTCATAATGTGATTAAGATTTCATTTGAGTCCATTTATAATTTCTTAGTGGAGAGATAACTGGTAAAAAAATAAAACAACTTATTTTATACCATATCCACTGTTTTTGATTAATGCTTGAATTAGTTGCTGAGTCTCAAGATTCTTGACAAAAGAAAAGATATAAAAGAACTCGGGATCCCAGAGAAATAGGGACCCTGAAATTCCCCAGCTACATAAAAGGGTGTTCCTCCTTAAATTAAATGTCTGGGACAATAATATTCTTTAAGAGAGGGAAGCACAA